AGATACAACATTTTCAAATATATCTAATGAAATGCATTCAATAACTTCTCTATATTTGGTCGACTTGAGTTGAATATGTTGAATAAATTCATCGATTCTGTTTCTTAATTAATCTATTTGTTGTCAAATTCACTTTGAACCTTTTGGTACGAATATTACATTGTTGCCCAGTGTTATCTTATTGACATTCTTCACATTTTCATATTCTGAATACATGCAATTTAATAGAAAAATATTAAATTAATTTAAAAACTTTTATTTTGAAAATCATGAATCTTAATACTCACTCCTTGTAATATAATGTGTATATTTAATTAGAAAAGTGTTATGTGATATTTGAAACTTGATTTCAATAACTATTAATCTAAATACTTACTCCCAGAAACTAAATTTACATTTAATTTACTTGTAAAATGTTATTTGATTTTAAAATAGTTTATAACTTTGATTTCAATGATTATATGAATTTAATTACTCACTTTCTGAAACATAGCACACCAAATTAAAAGATAATTGATTAGAGAATATGTTGAAATTTTGATCTTAACTTAATTATAAATCTAAATACCTTCGAGATATAAATAATGTGTATGCAAATTGATATTTAATTAAAAAAGAGTTATGTGATATTTGAAACTTTGAGTTTAATGATTATTAAATATTCACTTGTAATATATAACGTGTACGCAATAGATTTATAATTGATAAAAATATTATTTTATTATTGAAATTGCTTATGACTTTGATCTGAATATAATTATTAAAGTATCTTTGTTTGTTATAACATTCTGCGCATTATATCCTCAAATTTCATCTTCATTATCACTGAGTTTAGTGTTTCATAATCCGAGATCTTGTATTGTAAAAATTATCATAAACATTTTTTACAATGTTAAATTTTATTCATTGCAAGTTCACAATAATTAAAAATTAAATTTTTTATAATCTGAATTAATCTTAAAAAAATGGATTGAAAATTATAAGTGAAAAAAAAGGATCAAATTTATATATCTTAATTTTCTTATATTTTTTAAATAAAAATTATTTATTAAAAAATTTATAGAATTTAGCATCAAGATTCGCAAGAATCAGGAAGGTTGATTAATTAGTCTTTAAAATCATAACTATTAATTATTTTACAATACTAATGCAATAAATTTTTTCTACATTCTAATGATTGATGATTTGAATTAATTTTTACACTAAATTACGAGAGCAACAACGAAGCGACGAAATACTTTACAGCACAAAATAGCTTAACTATTATCAAGCAAATATTCCATAATTATTAAAATAATTATTATATTTTAAGTAAAATGACAACTATTGTTTTTAATTAACTATTTTTAATTAACTTTAAATTTTAATTAATTAATCTAATGTCGATTTTAATTTTAACAATAAAATCATATAAAACAATATCAAACAATATTACTTCATAAATTTTTTTGTTTATATTCAATGTACAAAATAATAAATGATACAATGATACACATAACTCAACATACAAATATTAGAAATAATATTTTCATCACTTGCTGTAAATAGTCGAGTTTGTTCTATACTTTTTACAATAATCTTTTTATTTCCTCTTCCTCCTTTACGACACCACCCTTCAAAACATTTTTCTTAAACTACTAGCACTATCCCCATTTTAATTTCAATAGTTTTAAGCGATTCTAGTACATTTTTGGCATTTGACATAATATTTTATCAGCATCCGACCCTAATTCTTTTCTACAACCAAATGAAAGTCCATCAGAACTTAAATTATGTAAAGTTAATTTGGAAATCTTGGTACTGGCACAATAATTTAAAATTGCCAAAATGAATCGGATGAAACTAGACGTAAATATAGACAATATTTTTTAAACTTGTATTGACTGTTTCGAGAATTTTTATAATAAATTCTCAAGGATACCTATTGTGTTCCAAATGGAAACTGTGAATGATGAAGCAAAGAATAAATGATCTGATTTATACAATCCATAACAATCTTCAATATAAAGGCTTAAAGTGAAATAAATTATCCAATTTATGATGATTACCCCTCGAAATGACAAAAGCTTACTGAATTTGAACGAAGACTCTTTAATGTTTATTTTTGACTATTGATATATTCATAATAAAGTATCGCAATCTATATAATATTTAGCGACAATTGATAGATTTTCTAACCGTTTTTGAACACCAATAAGTTTTTCTAATAAACTTGAGAATATAAATTCAATTTCTAATCCATATTTAAAATATTATCACCAATTAATTTTAATGATTCAAATTACGGACAAATCAGTTCGTGATTTTTCTATCATCAAAGTAAGTTTCAATTTCTTAGATACTTTTAGGCCCATTTCAAAAACTTTCTATTCTTTCTTTCTCAAATAGAACTATACTTACTCAAAATTAATTTGATTTATCAACACCACTCGGCTACTTTTGATTATCCATCATTCGCTCATAAATTTAGAATTAATAATTTGCTTTATTTATTTGCAACAAATTTTTGTTCATACCAAGATAATTATAATACTAATAAGAACGAAATCCACATCATCAAATTGAGAAATTAAAATAAATCGTTGCTCATTTCTGGACTATTTTATATTGCAAAAGTTCCAGAAAATTTTTGGAAGCTGAACTATAATTCACAGAAATTAGAATTCAAATTATTACTTGTTATTGAATGGTAGATTTTATCTTTATTCTTTTTATATAGCTTTATATTTACAATGTAATTTCTTTTATGAATTAAATGGAGGCTCTGTTAGTCATTAAAAAAAAAGTAATAAAAAATAAAAAATAACAATAAAGAATTAATTGGCGTTACCCTAAAATTTGTGATGTCAATGATTATGGATAAAAATAATTAATTAAATGTACCTTTTTATAACATTGTTTTTGGATTTTTGTGAGGTATTTTTTTTAAACAAAAATATCATTAAACAAGATTACAATTTACTGTAAACTGTTCTAAAGCACAAAATGTAATGAAGGTCGTTATCAGGTGAAATTAAAACTTCTGAAATAATTTGAATATATAAGAAATAGAATAAATAATATTTGATATTTGCATATTGAAAATATGATAATAATCAAATTAATTAAAATAGATAAATAGATGAAATTCTCAACTTCATCAGTCCTTTTATTATCCAAAATTTCCTGTCAAAACATGTTCCAATTTAATGCGGAATAATAAATAGTTTCTTCCTTAATTTAATTCTACCTAATTTAGCTTATTTCCTTAAGTCTCCTCCTCTTCCCTTTAAATTAAATGAAAATGTGAAGCTATTTAGATAATAATATTGAATAATGAATGTATTAAAGTATAAATAAATTTAATGAAAATAAAATTAGTTTCTAGATTGAGTACACACAATGTAACTTTTACTATTTTAATTCAAATTGTATTAATATTTAATATTGAATGATAATTAATCAGAAGTGTTATTTGATATTAAATTAGTTTTAAACATTTATTTAAAACACCAATAGAAATACTCACATCCTGCAAAATATAACATGCATGAATACAATTGAATGGTAGTTAATTAGAAAGTGTTTGATGTTAAATTGATTTAAACATTATTTTATAAATACTCACCAATTATAATATCATGTCAATACAATTGAATGATAATTAATTGGAAATTGTTAAATTTATTTAAAAAGTTGATTTTAATAATAATGAATAAAATACTCACACATTGTAATATTGTGTTATCAATTGCAACGATGGACCGGACGGTAAAATAGAAATATTTTTAGTAGTTTCAATAGATGTATAGTATTTATATAGGTAGAAAAAAAAAAGCTATAATCATGCAAACCGGAATTTATTATTGTTGGCAATTCTCTTTTTTTACATTTAAAAAAATTGAAGAGAAGAATGGAAGAAACAGAAGAATTGGAAAGATCGGAAGAATTTAAAGAAATCAAATAAGCATATTGTTTAATAAAACTTTATTTTAAAATCATAATTATTTAAATCAATGTTTCTATATCATATAAAAATTCTCTAATAAATTATAAACTAATCACATGAATTATATTGCGAGTAAGTATTTAGATTCAAAAATTCAATATCGTATAATTATTTTCTAATTAATTATCAATCAATAATACATTTTAAAGATCTTGAAGGGTGCTTTGAATGTCATCAAAAAAATACTGGAAGATATTGGTGTAGTTCATGTAATTCCAAACATTTCCAGAATGAATTTGATAAATGGACAAGTGAAAATAAAGAAATTGATGAATTTATTCAACAAATACAACTAAATGCAAATATGTTTCAAGAAATTATTGAGTGGATTCCATTTGACAAACTTGAAGATGCCACACACCTTGCTAAAGGGGAATTTGGATTTTTCACAAAAATTATCAACTTTTTGTTTTATATCTTGAAAATCTTTATTCACGACTTTAACTTCGCTTCAATTTCAGAATTAAAAAGTAAAAAAAAAATTTAAACCTTTATTTTTATTATTTATGATCTTTTTTTATACCTTTTTTTTTATTATTTATAATCTTTTTTTATACTCTTTTATTATTTAATACCTTTTTATTTTTTTTATTAAATATGTTGATTAATCAAAAGTTTATTGAGTTTCTAGAGCTTTTCACGCCATGAAAATAGTTTAGAAAAAATCACGAATGTTAGGTCCTGTGAGATATGTAAATGAGTTATTTCACGGTATCACCGGGTATATCCTAATTTCACTACAAAGCCCAGATCCCCGTGAAATAACTATTACTTATCAAGTAAATTTAATTTAATATATGCTCCTAAACTTTTGGACTGGAGTGTGTATATGAGTATGATACTGATACAAAAAAAAATCACAATGTCAATAATAAATTTATCAACTTACTTTTTTAGCATTTGACACAAGTATAATAATAAAAACTAATTTAATTATCTTTCCCTTAAAGTACTTCGAATGAAAAAATTCCTTCTAATTATAATTATTGTCACTTGACCCATCTACTAAACCTCAATGAGCAAATGTTGGAGAAAGGTATGTTTCGGTATAAATGAGAAGCAGTTGAGGCATTTGGTCTATGTTGATAGTTCCCGTACAATACCGGTTAGTGAATAAGACGAGAACTATATCATATTCAGTATCATAATTTTTTACTGATTCCAATGTTTGTTTCATATCATATTTTAATGTCTGGTGTAGAAATAGTAGTTGTTGCACTGATTCCTGAATACTTAATTTGCGAAAAGATCGCTAATTTCTTTTTAGTATCAGCAGAGTCAAGAACCTAGTAGTAATCAATGTTAGCACATCCTCGGCAACAGCGGAAAATGCCTTCGTCGAGTGAGCGGAGCACGTTGTCATCACATGATACTAAATTAGCAAGACTTGCAATGTTGCTTGCCCGTTCAAGAAACTTCTCTTTCGAAATGTTGTTCTACGGTATCGTATGATCTCAATATTTCACCCTTAGGTTCCACATTTTTTCTTCCGGATTCACATCGCGAGTGGAATATTGACTTTCAAAAGCACAAGACTATTTGCGTCAACCGATTTAAAAGTGTTCTTTTTCTTCTCCCAGATGAGTTCTTTAAGGTGTCCAATGGTACTTGTTCCAGTGATATCAACTGAAAAAGAATCTCCGATAGCGTCCCCTAGGACGAGGAAAAATAACATGATGTCTGTGGTATGCATGATTATTAATTGGAAAATAAGATATAGTTCTTACAAAATGACAAAGTTAATTTGAATTACAGTCGTATGGATGATCTGGCGTTATCAAATAGATGGATTTATAAAGTTTATTATTATTTTTCGGCAACAAAGACCCAACTCCTCAAGAAATTTCAAAATAACTATACGCGGATCATATTTCGATTAGAACAATTCAAGTCTCATCGCAGAGTTCTCTCTTGAAGATGATCTCGTATTAATTGCTTCCCAAAGTCATTTTTATGGAAATATTTTACAATATGGACACCATGTTTTAGAATGCTTTATACTATTAAACCAATCATTGACCCTTTCTACACATCCATTGCATAGATTTATATACCGTATCTTGCGGGCCATAGTACCTGAGTCTTTAATAAATTTTGGACTTTTTTCCTTATACCCGGATTATTCGGATTATCTTTTTTTTAATCCGATCTTTTAAACTTTTAAAAAAGTAATCTGGCAATCCGTCGGATTGACGGATTGGGCATCCACGGATCACAATTTCCATTATATTTATTATTACAACTGTTTTTACTTTCTCTCTCTAGTAAATTTTAAAAGAAATTAAACTATATTACTACTTATATTATTATTATTATTTACATACACTTCTCACTTAAACCATTATAATTATAGATTTCAAAAATTTTTTTTTTTTATAATACTATCAAAATACTTATTATCGGTTCCTCTACAAAAAATTGACCCATTGTCTTTGACATCAAAAAGAGGAGTCATCCGCCAATGGAGGCCTCAAATAATGTTACAAGATAAAATTTAGGAAAATAATACAGTTATACCTGTATATAATCACCAAATATCTATAATCACCACTTTATTCAGTCCCAAAAATTTTTTTTCTATATGATATAATTATAAATTATAACCACCACCAAAATTCAGTCCCAAGGTGGTGATTATATACAGATCTGACTGTATACATTAAACTCTCTATAAATGCACCTCCAGGGAATCAGCATTAATGTTCATTTATAGAGGGATATTTTATAAGTGTTATTAGTAGATGGAACTAAATTAAGATTAATATTGATTGCCAACAACGTTGTTGACCGTGATCCAACCTACAAGGGATATGATTAACTATTAGCTAAAGATACAGTAGCTAAACTAAAATATGTTACTACTAACTAATTTATACTACAAAAAGTTTGATGTTTGAAGGATTTAGATATTACGGATTTGTTCAAAAGAGGCAAGGCTATTAGATTTTTATAAGGGTTTGACTAAACTATTCATGAAGAATAAGGTATAAACTAAACTAAACTAATAATTCCTAATACTAAGTAGAGAATTATAACACAAAACTATATACCGAGATCACAAAGCAAGGTATAATTCAACAAGGGTTTCAGTATTCCACTAAGGAATAATACAGAATTTCACTAAGAATTCACACAGGTATTTATTATTTATAAGGTAAATCACAAAGTATTTTATTAATAGAATTAGCAAAGGAACTGAGAATTAGTTATCAAACTATTTCTAAGTGACTAATTCACTATTTGAACTGAACTAACTGACTGACTAACTGAGCAAAGAGAATTTCAGCCTTTATATACATAATTGAAGTTATAATAGATTATACTGTAGACTACACTAATGCATACAGTATTAATTACACTGATGTATACACTATTAAATATGTTTTCTACTACACTATCTATTACACTGTACATTACACTATTGAATACACTATTGATTACACTGTACACTATGCTGTTGATAATGCTCAGATCTACAGTTGTAATACTTAATAGTTGTACATTAATAATTTCCTATAAATATATACTAATAAAATATGAAATTAAGCTAATAAAATATAAACAAACTAATAAATACATGATGATAAAATAATAATATGATAAATAAGATAAAAATATAATAATAAATAAAATTTGACCATTAGGGTCAACAACATAATACCAATAATTATGATGATGTGATGATATAATGATGGTATAATTTAAAAATGGTATTTTTTAATAGTGATGATAATACCCACACAAATCTCATTTTAATAATTTCTTGGAACTAATGCAGGTGGAGTTGCCGTGATGTGGATTTCTAAAAATATTTTTTCTTAAATGAAGATTTTCTGGTTAGTGGCAAAGGACTTTATTGCAAAACTACATACCACAATATAATATTAATTTTCTTTTCTCTTTTTTTTTTGCAAATATTTACAAGTTTTGATTCTACAAGTATTTTTTAACAAGTTTACAATTAATCCAATGTCTAAGCATTTGTAATTAATTATTTATTTACAATAAATGATAATTTTGGTTATAAAAAAAATTGATAATTCACAATAGTGATAACTTCCGTAACACAATAAATAAATATTCATTTAATGGCTTATTCTAATTATTAACAAATAAATAATGTTACAATGCAAATATATATATTTTTCGAATATAATCAATATTGTAAAAAAATAATTTAATTATGCAAACCGGAATTTGTGGCTGTTGGCAATACTTTTTTAGATTTTTAAAAAAAAATTGAAGAGAATAAATGGAAGAAACAGAAGAATTGGAAGAAATATGAAGAATTTAAAGAAATCGAGTAGGCACATTATTACTTTAAAATTATAATTATTTAAATCAATGTTTCAATGTCATGGTCCAACCCTCTACTAAACTATAATTGAATTATATTACAGTGAGTGAGCATTTAGATTCAGTAAATTTAATATCATCTAATAATTTTCTAATTAATTATCAATTTAGAGATCTTGAAGAGCGTTTTGAATGCCATCAAAAAAATACCGGAAGATATTGGCACCATCCATATAATGCTTACCATTTCCAAAATGATAATGGATAAGTGAAGATAGAGAAATTGATAAAATTTATTCAACAAATACAACTAAAAGCATGCATCAAGAAATTATTGAGTGGATTCCATTTGACAGACAGACTTGAGAATGTTCAAATTCACTTTGAAACCTTTCGATACGATATTACATTGTTGACCAGTGTTATCTTGTTGACACTCTTCACATTCTTCGTTATAACTGAATACATGATTTAATAGAAAGATATTAAATTAATCTTTATTTGATAATTATGAATCTAAATCTTCACTCCCAGTATATTTAATTAGAAAAGTGTCATGTGATGTCTGAAACTTGATTTCTATAAATACTTGCTCCCAGAACTTAATGTGCGTTCAGTTGATTTGTAAAATGTTATTTGCAGTTAAAATAGTTTATAACTTTGATTTAAATGATTATATGAATTTTTAAATACTCCCTTTCTGAAACATAATGCATAGCACATTCAATCAAAAGATAATTGATTAGAGAATATGTTGATATTGATCTTAATACTCACGACAATAGATTTATAATCGATTAAAAATGCTATTGAATTATTAAAATAGCTTATAACTTGATTCAAATAAAATATAATAAATATTAAAATATCTTTGTTTTTTATAACATTCTGAATAATGAATAGATTATATTCAATATCATTATCTTCGACTTTTGAATCATCCTCAACTTTCATTATCTTCATTATCATAAAGCTTATTCTAATATAATTTGCCCGGGGACATTTATAATAATTGTATATTTATTGCATTTTATTTTCCTTTATTGGTAGCAATAAATATATTATTATTTTTGATAGAAAAGAACATGCATATATATAGCACTTTATTTTCAATTAACTGTATTGTTAATTTATATATCAATTACAAAAATTAAAGAAAGTTAACTTATATCGATTTTCAGTTTACCTTTGTGCAATTTGTAAACTGTATAACACAAATGATAAATAATTACAAATATTTAATTTTGAAATATCAAGACAATAATGATTTATTTTAAATGATTACATACCGGTCTGCTTTAATTTAAATAAAAGCTATACTCTATAATTCCAGTGATCAAATAAATAAAGAGATATAAAATAAATGAATAAAGAATTTTAAAGAAAATACAAAGTTGCACAATAACAAGATTAAAAAAATAAAAATTTCCAAAAAAAATAAACAATTAATTTTCCTGAATTTCATTTTCTTTAACTATGCAAAATTTAATGATTGTTAATTTAATTTAGATAAATTATTAAACAGATAATTCAAAGAATTATAATTACTCACTTATATCATCAGGAATTTCAAGATCCCATTGTTTTGTATCTAAAATAATAATTAATGTAAATATTTTATATAAAATAATTATTCATTTATGTTAAAAAATATAGATCACCATGTGTATTAGCTTTAAGTTTCTTTGATTTCAGAAAAGGCAAATGTCTACTTGTATATATTGCTTCAGGATGCACTTCATTTGTATCATATTGAACAAAATTCCTGTTTGATTTATTTGCTTCTTTAACTTGTCTTCTAACTTGTCTTTTTATTTCATAATCACAACTATAAGAATATTTCTTAAGTTAATAATTCAATTTTATAGCAGTTGGACGATTGAGAGGTTCAAAATTCCAGCATTTTCCATTATTTCTTTGAGAAATTGAGGAATTTCACACTTAATTTCAGGTTTAAGCCCTCACAAATGCTCATTACAAGATTTTCATTATGCGGAATATTATAATATGGTGGATAACTAGTTAAAACTTCTAACATAACCATACTAAATGTCAGATGCTCGAGTGTATTTTCCTTTACAGGTGCCATGTATAGAATTACACCATAAATTTTTTCTGGATCATTTTCTGTAAACGGCTTGCACAGTCCAAAATCAGTAATAAAACTATATTACCAAAATGAAAATCTTTATGCATTAAGCCCACCATTTCATGGATATTTATAAGTCCATTTACAATAGTTGATAAAATATCGAATTTTCTTCTCCAAGTTAATTCTTCAAACTTGTTATTCAACAGTTTTCGAAGACTACCATATTTTGCATACTTCGAAACTATCATATATTCATTTTTTGTTGGATTTTTAGTGATGCCATATATTGTAATTGCCTTTTTACC